GAAGGTATTGCAATTAATGGTGATGAAGTTGCCAAGAATGATGACAAGGGAAGGGATGACAGGGGTGACAGTGGAAGACAGTAAACTGATCTAGATTTATTTAGAAAGAGTGACTCAGGAGATATTTGATTAGAGTAATGAAGAAGGGTAGAGTTATATAGGACAGCATGAGATTCAAAGGAGCAAGGAGGCAACTATCCTACCAGGATTATTACACCCTTGTCTTGCTCCCCTGGTGATCTAGAAACTAGAGCACTCTTTCAAAAGTACAATCTAATTTTACTACTCTGATTTTAAAAATCTCTTTATAGAGGCCCACTTTTAGAGATGGTAATTGCTTGAATGTGGCAGGAGAAAGGAGTGGGAATGGAGAGGTCATATGAATTTCAAAGAGATTTAGGAGGTGGAATCAACAATCCTTGGTGATTTATTAAATGTAGGTATTGAGAGAGATGAGCCAAGATAAGTCCCAAGTTTCTCTTTTGTATTGACATTTTGGCAAGACCTAATTAATAAATGTTTGTTTAGTGTCAATTTTATGCAGAGCTGAGAACTTCTAGAGAACCAAGGATGAAAGACATAGTCGCTGCCTTAATGTAAGATGCAGTATCCATGAAACATAAAATAAGTAAATAAGTATAAGAAGAATAAATAGCTTATCCCATATGCAAATGCAAATTAAATTGATATCTACCAAATAATTTCAAAGAAAATGTAGGGTTATTCAAGGAAGCTTCCTTGAATAAATGAATTTTTAGCTAGATATTGAAGGAGAACATGGTTGTTTAATTAGAGGAGCCTGTAATTTTAAGGAGAAAAGTAGCAAGTGCAAAGGCAAGAATGAACTCCAATCATGGAAAGAAGGACAAGCGTATCAATTTAACTAATGAAGGGGATGTTTTGAGCTTGTTAAGAGATGAATGAGTTCAGCCACAAAATACAAATTATTCCCCTCCTGTACTGTAAAGGGCCTAATATTTTAGGCTTTGTGGGCCATGTACAATCTCTGTTGCACGGTCTTCTTTCTTTTGTTTTTGTTTTATAACACTTTTAAAGTGCAAAAACCATCCTTATCTTGCAAGCTATACAAAAACAGGCCACAGGCTATATTCAGCCAACAGGCTGTAGTTTGTCGGACCCTGGATTACCTCAGTATAATAACCAATCTGAATGAGAGTTGGTGGTACTTAATCACCTCTGTCACTCCAAGGGCATGGTTCTCAGTATTTTTAGATTATGGATCCCATAGAAATTCCATGCATCCTAGGTCAAGAACTCCAACTTTAGGTCACCACCAAATAGCCCCATTCCACAATATCAGCACTTGTTACATCAGAGACTTTTTCAATTAACTTCAGTGTCTGGATTTTCAAGCATCCAGTTGGGATATGCTTTGAAGGCACAGATGCTTTTATAAGGTGTGAGTAGCATCACAAAGTGACTCAAAGAAGACCAACCATTGACTCATAACTAGGAGATGATATAGGCATATGGAGGTGATACCCTAGTGGGCCACTTTGCTTCTCTCCTCTAAAGCCCAAGGCTGTTAGAGGGGAAAGGCATTTTCCCCAGGTAATAGGTTACCTTCTAAGCTGCATCCCTGACTTTCACAATAGAATTCGTGTAATATTCTTCTCAGATAGTTTCTGTGGACTGCTTTTTTTCTGGGCATGGGTCACACTTTTCTGTTTCTATACATGTCTCATGATTTTTTTTGAAAACCTGGACATTTAAGATAATATAGAAACTGATTTCTCACCCCTTCAGAGGGATTATTTCTGTGTTTTGTTTATTTGTTTACTGACTTGCCTGGAGGAATTCTCTACACAGATGCTGTGTAGCCACTGCTGTCTCTGCTCAGGTTTTATCTTTACTTTTTGCTTTTATTAAAACTGTGACTTCCTAGGTATCACATTGGGTCAGTATAGCTCAGTGGTTCTCAATAGGGGGCAGTTTTCCCCCCAGGGGACACTTGGCAATGTCTGGATACATTTTTAGTTGTCACAACTGGGGAGAAGGATGGAGACTAGGGATGCTGTTAAGCATCATACAGTGCACAGGACAGTGCCCCACAACAAAAAATTGTCTAGCTCTAAATGTCCATAGTGCCAAGGTTGAGAAACCCTGGTATAGCTTAGTGGTTAGCCAACAATTGGTCAGAGGTTATGCTTAAAAACCTTAAGCCAATAAGGCTTCCACCCTTTGCCTACAGATCTCTGTGTGAATTGGGGCACACATTCAGAGTTTAGGCTGTTTATAAGTCTGCTGTGGTGTTTACATTCTGTTCTGCCATTCTTCACATCTCCTCTGGGCTTGCACAAGGCCTTACATTCTTCCAGAGATGTATAGATAAGCTAGGGCCCTTTCCAGTCTCTCCTGAGTGCGCCCACAGCCCTGTATGTGTGCACAGCCTTACCAAACACCAGGGATATGAGGAGGTTTTCCAAGGCCCACTATAACTGTCTCATTCTCTTGATCCCCTTGTTGGATTTCTAGCTATTCTGCTGGTCTGTCACTTGCCCCAACCAGTATTCCTTCCCTGGTTGTTTTCAACACCCAGGGGTATGGGGTTTTTATGTGCTCTGCTCCAAATCAAGTTAGTCCTCTTTAGCAGCAAAGCTGCTGTTTTCTTGGCTTGCCTGCACTGGTAGAACTACTCCTGATGTAGCTGGTGGGGGGGGGGGGGGGGGGCAGGCACTGGGCAGGTTTTAGGGGGTGGGAGCATCCCCAACTAAAACATACAGATTCCCACTGTTCTTACCCAAGGTCAGTAGTTTTCTCTGGAAAAAAAATGCTTCTTAATTTGTTGTATGCCTTTGGTCAATTTCCAGAGTCCTAAAATGGTTGTTTTTGATAATTTTATTCAGTTTTACCATTGTTCTTGAGGGAGAGGATTTGCCAAGCTCCTTATTCTGCCTTTCCAGAAGTCTTACCTTCAGAGATTCCCAAGGCTACACTTTGAGAAACACTAGTGTAGTGGGCTTTGGGGTTGGACTACTTGAGTTCAGTCCTAGCTCCACAACCTAATGATTATATAATCATACAAAGTTATTTAACATCTCTGAACTTTAGTTTCCTTGTCCTTAAAGTAAGAATAATAATACCATGCAAAGTCAGTTTGAGGAATACAGGTATACTGTGTTTTTCAAACTGTTGCTTAGTATCTTGTAATGTAGATACACCACAATTTATTCAGCTATTCCTCCACTTCCTCCACTGATAGACATTTAATCTTATTTTCAAATTTTTTTGCCATTATAAACAACACTATTATGATTATCCTTGTGCACACCTCCACATGTGTGACAGTTTCTATAAGGTAAATACTGAGAGATGAATTCCTGGGTCAAGCAATACATATACATATTTTGTATTATTTTCATAGAAACTTCCAGATTGCCATCCAGTCTGGCTTCACCAATTTATGCTCCCACTACCAAAGTTTGAGAGGATACATTTCCCCACATCTTTTGAAAACATTTGTTGTAATCAAACTTTAAAAATTTTGTCACTCTGGTGGATAAAAAATGGTATCTTAATACCCATTTCTCTGATTACTACTAAGGTTGCAGGGAGTGGGTTCCTGTGTTTGCTGGTCACTTCTAGTGACCTTCCTATCCTTCATTCATTTTTCTATTGCATTTTTATCTTAATAATCACAGACATTTATTCTATATGCTGAGTATTAATCATTTTATGTTAAAAATATTTTTCCTGTTACTTGTCTTTTAGCTTGAGTTTTTTATTGTTTGAAAAACAGAAGGTTTTTATTTTCATACGGACAAATTTATCTTGTATGCTTTTTGTGTCATATTAAAATGGTCTTTCCTACCTCAAGGTTGTTAACATATAATAGTTTTATTTCTTATATTGTAATCTATCAGTAATTTATTGTTTTGAATGATATGAATCCAGAATAAATTTTTTCAAATATTCATTTTTCTGAAACTAGTTATTGAGTGATCCATCTTTTCTCCACTATTATGAATATCTTTGGGACTCGATTCTGTTCCCTTGATCTGTTCATCTATTCTGCATGAATACTATACTTTTTAAATTACTATAGCTTTATAATATGGTTTATATAACTTTATAGTTCCCCCTTGTACCTTCTTCTTTTTCAAAATTCTTACTTTATTAATTCTGAATATGAATTATGGAATTAGCATATCTAGGACATGAAAATTTCCAATGGGGTTTGGATTGCAAGTACCTGACATTTTGTATATTAATTTGTGGGAGAATTTGTGTCTTTTCATTATTGAATTTGCATATTGCTCCATTCAGGTTTCCTTCAAGTCCTTCAGGATAGTTTTATAGATTTCTCCATAGCAATCTTCCACATTTTTGTTGATTCCCAGACATTATATATTTTTTGTTCCTCATATAAATGTAATGTCATTCTTATTTACCTTTTCTAAATGAGTAACCTGGTGTATGGGAAGGTTAAACTAACAGAAAAGATGCAAGAATAGTACAAGGACCTCCTTTATAGCCTCTATCCACTTGTGTTTCCTTTTTAAATACTTGAATCATTTCATTTTCCAAATTTAGAACTCTGCTCTATTTTGAGTTTATCTTGGAGACCTGGTGACAATATGAGGTATGGACCCAATTTTATCTTTTTCCAAATGGCTATCTAGTTGTCCAACACCATTTATTTAAAAATTCATATTTTCCCCAGTGATTATAGTTGCCAGTTTATTACATACCAAATTTCTATATACATTTGGGTATATTTATGGACTTTTTATACTCTTCCATTGTTTTATCTGCCTATTCCTATACCGACATCACACTGTTTTAATCATAGAAGTTCTATAGTATGTGTTAATATCTGGTAGGAGGCTAGTGTCCCCCTCATTGTTCTTTCTTGGTAGAAGACTTTTTGAAGGAAGTTTTCTGGGTACTGATTTTTTTAAGTTTTCCTAAATAAATACTTCTTTATTTTTATAAAATAATGTAATAAATAATATAAAAGAATGTGATCTTTTCCCTAGAACTGCAGTATGCTAACACTGTGATGCGCTTTGATTATGTCTGGCTTCGAGACCACTGCCGCTCAGCATCTTGCTACAACTCTAAGACTCACCAGCGGAGCCTGGACACTGCCAGTGTGGATTTATGTATCAAGCCAAAGACCGTTCGTCTGGATGAGACCACACTCTTTTTCACTTGTGAGTGGACAAGAGACTTGGTCTTCTTTGGGGTTCTCTTCTAAAGAACAATTACTTTGCAAAAAAGTGGTTTGTCTCTTACCGAAATATGGTATTCTTTTAGTTATTTCTCCTTTTTTCTTTCTATGGAAGCATTTATTTTTTGAAACTTTTATTTTTATTTTTAAATAAAATTATTGCAATCCATAGCTAACATCATACTTTTTAAAATCATTTTTTCCAGTTTTATTGAGATATATTTGACACACAATATTGTGTAAGTTTAAGGCATACAATGTGATGATTTGATATTCATAGGTATTGTGAAATGATTGCCACAGTAAGCCAAATTAGCACATAAATCACCTCACATAGTTACCTTTTTTGTGTATGTGGTGAGAGCATTTAAGATCTACTCTCAGCAAATTTCAAATATATAATACAGTATTGTTAATTATATCACCATGCTGTGCATTAGCTCCCGAGAATTTATTCGTCTTATAACTGGAAGTTCACACCCTTCGACCCCCTTCACCCATTTCCCCCAATCGCCAGCCCCTGGCAACTACCAATCTACTTTCTGTTTCTATGAATTAGGTTTTTTTAGATTCCACATAGTGTCACTTGACAGTACTTATCTTTCTCTGTCTGACTTATTTCACTTTGCACAATGCCTTCAAGGTTCCTCCATATTGTCCTGAATGGCAGGATTTCCTTCTTCTTTATGGCTGAATAATATTCTACTTTGTATATACATACATACACACACACACACACACACACCACATTTTCTTTATTCGCTCATCTGTCAATGGACATTTAGGTTGTTTCTGTGTCTTGGCTATTGTAGATAATCCTGCAATGAACACGAGGGTGCAGATATCTCTTTGAGATAGTGATTTCATTTCCTTCAGATATGTGCACAGAAGAGGGATAGCTGGGTTATATGGTATTTCTATTTATAATTTTTTGAGGAATCTCCATGCTGTTTTCCATAGTGTGTGCACCAATTTATGTTCCTACCAGCAGTGCACAAGAGTTCCCTTTTCTCCACATCCTTGCCAGCATTTGTTATCTCTTGTCTTTTCTGATAATAGCCATTCTAACAGGTGTGAGAGGACACCTCACTGTGGTTCTGATTTACATTTCCCTGATGATTAGTGATGTTGAGCACCTTTCCAGCTAACATCAAACTTAATGGCGAGACTGAACACCTTCACTCTAAGATAGGGAACATGGCAAGGATGTCTTCTCTCACCACTCTTATTTAATATCCACTTTTGCTGCTCTTATTTGACACAGTTCTGGAAGTTCTGGTTATTACAATAAGGCAAAAAAAGAAATAAAGTGCATACATATTAGAAAGGAAAAAATAAAACTGTCTTTATTTGCAGATACATGATTGTCTACATAAACTACCTCAAGTAATCTACAATAAAACTCCTAGAACAAATAAATGAGTCCAGTAAGGTTGCAGGATATAAGATAAACATACAAAAATCAATTTCATTTCCATATACTTACAGTGAACATGCAGAAATCAAAATGAAAAATTCCCATCTACAATTTCTTCAAAGAAATTTAAATATTTAGGTATAAATCTAACAAAGTGTGTACAGGATCTGTATGATGAAAATTATAAAATGCTGATAAAAGAAATCAAAGAAGGCCTAAGTACCTGGAAAGGCAAATCATGTTGATAGATTGGGAGACTCAACATAGTAAAGATATCAATTCTCTCCCAAATTGATTGACAGTTTTAATGATGTTCCTATCAAAATGTTTTTTGTAGATATAAACAAGCTTATTCTAAAATTTAAACGGAAAGGCACATGTTCTAGAATAGCGAAAACAATTTTGAAAAGGAAGAATGAGGGGGGAAGAATTACTTCCTGATGTTAAGGCTGCAGTAATCAAGACAGTGTTGTATTGGCAGAGGGAAAGACACATAGATCAATGAAAGAAAAAAGGGAACCCACAAATAGACCTGCACAAATATAGTCAACTGATCTTTGGCAAAGGTGCAAAAGTCATTCCATGGAGGAAGGATAATCTTTTCAATAACTGGTGCTAGAGCAATTGAACATCCGTGGGAAAAGAAAAAAAAGAACCTCGACTTAAGTCTCACACCTTATACAAAAATTAATTCAAAATAGATCATGGACTTAAATGTAAAACATGAAACTATAAAATTTCTAGAAAAGAACATAGACGAACATCTTCAGGACCTAGGACTAGGTCCTGACTGGGATGAGGACTAAATAACTGTCAAAACTCAACATAAAAAAACCAAACAGTCCAATTAGAAAATGGATGATATGCAGACATATACAGACATTTCACTGAATAGGATCTACAAATGGCAAATAAACACATGCAAAGATGTTCAACATCATTAGCCATTAGAGAAATGAAATTTAATATCACAATGAAATTTCACTACATACCTAGTAGAATGACTAAAATAAATAGTGACAACATGAAATGCTAGAAAAACATTGGAGAAATTCTATCAGTCATACATTGCTAGTGGGAATATGAAATGGTAGAGCTACTCGGGAAAACAGTTTGTCAGTTTCTTAAAAAACTAAACATGCAACTACCGTACAACCCAGCAATTGCATTCCTGGGCATTTATCCCAGAGAAATGAAAACTTAGGTTTACACAAAAACCTGTACATTAATGTTCATACCTTCTTTGTGATAGCCAAGAACTGGAAACTGTTCAAATGTCCTTCAATGAGTGAATGGTTCACATAATGGAACACTAAAGAGCAATAAAAAAGAATGAACTATTGACATACATGATAACTTGGAAAAACCTTAAAGGAATTATGCTGAAGGAAAAAAGCAAATCTGCATGATTCTATTTATGTAATATTCATGAAATAACATACTTATAGAAATGGAGAACAAATTAACAGTTGCCATGAGTTAGGGATGAAAGGAGTGAGTGTGGCTATAAAGAGGTAACATGAGGAAGTCTTGTGATGGTACAGTTGAGTATCTTGACTGTAAGTAGTAGTTACACAAAGCTACACATGTAATGACACTGCATAGAGCTACACACATACACAAACACACACACACTCAAATGAGTACCTGTATAACCAGTGAAATCTGAATAAGCTCTTTGGATTATACCAATGTCACTTTCTTGGTTTTGATATTGTAGTGTGGTTATGTAAGATGTTAACACTGGGGAAGGCTCCAGGAAGGCTCAGGGAAGTGTGTGTGGGACTTCCTTATGCATTTTTTTGCAACTTCTGTGAATCTATAATTATTTCAAAATAAAAAGTTAAAAGAAAAAAGCATTGGAGGAAAAATATTTATAATCAATATATTTGACTATTAATTTCTCTACAATAAAAAAATATGCCATAGAAAGGTTTATTAAAAAACAACTGACTTGGCAAAATACTTGCAAAATGTATGACAAAGACTAAAAACCATTAATATATTAAGGTGCTATTGCCAATCTGTAAGAAAAGCACCAGAATTCCAATAGAAAAATGTGAGAAAGATGTGAACAGACAAATCATTAAAGCACGAGTCAGCAAACATTATGTAAAGGGCCAGATAGTAAAGATTTTTAAGCTTTTATGGCTGTACCATCTCTGTCACAACTATTCAACTATTCAGTTCTTCAGTAATAGTAGAATAAAAGCAGCCATAGGTAATATGTAACCAAATGGGCATGCATGCGTTCCAAAAGCAAGTGCCAGGCAGGTTTGGCCCATGGGCCATAGTTTGGTAACCCTTGCATTTAAAAAATATAGATGTCTAACAAATGTTCTTATTAGCCTCATTAGTAAGCAAACAAATTAAAATTATTACAATAAGAGCAATTTTACTTACCAGATTAGAAAAATATGTTTAAAAAATAAAAATACTCAGTTTTGATGGGCACACATATATTGTTGGAGGAAATGAAAATTGGTAGACTTTCTAGAAAGTAATTTGATTGTATGTATCAGACCTTAAAAGTTTATATCTTTGGATTTAACAGTTCTGCCTTCTGTGTTTCTGTTTTAAGAAAATTATCAGAAATATGGACAAAGATGATCACTATTAAATAATAGGAAAGGTTTTCAAAAATAAACTACATGCCCCGGAAGAACAGATTGGTTAGGTAAATCTTGGTAGTCCATATTCTGCAAATTATAAGAATTTTTATAAAGATTTAATTTTTTAATGATAAAATGACTATTAAAATGTTAAGTGACAAAAGCAGGGTACAAACTTTTATATATATATATATATATATATATATATATATATATATAAAACATGTTATTTAAAGTGAAAGAATGCATAGAGAAAAACTGGAAGGAGTGGTGCCAAGCTGTTAATATTAGTTTCATCTGGGTAATAGAATAATTATAGGTGATTTTTTATGATACTTTTATTATCAAGGAGTGGGAAGCCAAAGAGAGAGAGAAACAGAGACAGAGAGGTAGAAACAAGTAAAAAGGAGCGGTAAGATACCAGCATAGCTTTTCACTCCTCTAGCTATATCCTTTGCTTGTACTGAAGATTTTCTAAAGCATTTAGGGGGCTGGTTTTTTACTTTTGGGGTGGGGGGCAGTGGGAAAAGTCACTTATGAAGTCACTGTATCATGCTATATTAATGTTATATCGTCAGATCCACTGCCCTAATTCATTTAGAAGAGGAGGCAGCATAGTATACTACTGAACTGCCGGAAGCAAGAGGCTGGAGTTCTAGTTCCAGCTTATTAGCTATGTAAACTTGAGTGAGTCACTAACTGACTTTTTCTCAATTAGTAAAATAAAAATTAGTCTCCTAGCTCAAAAAGTTGTGTGTAGATGAGAAGTGGGGATGGGGACAAGGGGAGAGCAAGGGGAGTAAGCTAAAAAGCAGCTGGGATTTTTTCATTGTCTTTCTTTGATGACTTGATGAATGCTCCAGAGGCCCTTTACTACGTAGCTATAATTCCATAAACTTATTTCCCTGCTGGAAAGATTTATTTGTTCATTCATTCACTTATTAATTCATACTCCTCAACCCACAAATATTTCTGTCTCAGGAGTATTCTAAGAACTCATTTTAATTTGGTTTCATAAACAATGCAGTACTGGGTAATTGGTTGCTAAAAGTAACATTCCTAACCAGTAAATTATTGACAGTATTTATAATTATTATTTTTAATGCTTTTTGTTTTTCCCTTAAAAGGGCCAGATGGTCATGTGACTAGATATGATTTGGATTGGCTGGTGCAAAACAGCTATGAAGGGCAGAAACAAAAGGTCGTTCAACCTAGAATCTTATGGAATGCTGAAATCTACCAGCAAGCCCAAGTTCCATCTGTAGATTTCCAGAGCTTCCTAGAAACCAATGAAGGACTGAAGAACTTTCTGGAAAATTTTCTGCTCTATGGAATTGCATTTGTAGAAAATGTCCCCCCCACTCAAGAGCACACAGAGAAGTTGGCAGAAAGGATCAGCTTGATCAGGTAATTCATTACTTTCCAAATATCTACAGTAATTAATTTCCAGAGCATCAACACCAATAAAATAATATAACAGGTATGGTCACCCTTGTTTTTAATCCAGAATACTTTGTGGTCTGAATAAGGGGATTCCCATTTATAGGGCTTTATTCAGGGCTGGATTTCTAATCTCTAAAGATACTTGTATGTTAAATATAATGAAGTCTTCAAAGTCATTGGTATATTTTTCAAGCCCAGCAATCCTCAGAGTAAGAGGTATCATTGTACACTAGAAAGAGCACTAACTGTGAGTAAAGAGAGCCAGGTAGTAGTTTGAATTCTACCATCAAGCAGTTGTGTGAACATAGGCAACTCTGTTACACAAGTCCCTACCCTTGACCCCACCCTCCCAAGTGGCTTCTATTTTCCCATCTGATCAATGAGAGGATTGAGTAAGATGGTGTCTAAAGATCATCCAATTTTGACCTTCGATGATTCCTAAGGCTTGATTCAGAGACTGGTTGTTAATAATACTGCTTTACACTAGGTAGCATTTAACCAGCATTAAGTGGCTTGCCCAGGATTGCTCTGCTAGTAAGCAATAGAACTGGGATTCAGAGAGCTCAGGTTTCCTGATCCTAAATACAGTGTTCTTTCCACTTGTCAGTCTGCATTTCTAGGTAATATATGGTTGATCTTCTGTAGTATTAAATTTATCATAAACCTACTTTGTTGTAATTAATACTTTCCTTTTACTTAATAAGAGCCAGATATAGCTCATTGTGTAGCAAATAGTATGCTAGGTCATTTGCTCTATCCTAGTAGGCCATAATTAACATTTGTGAACCATTCAGTTTGAAACACAGTTTGAGAACTTTCAGTTAAAAGAAGCTGTGCTGACAAGCAATAAACTGAGAGGGCTTTAGAGATTATAGTTCAAGAGGAAGAACATTTCCTGTTTGGACTTTGAGGGTTCAGAGAATAAGCTGAACTCTGAAAGCTAAAAAAATTAAAGTGAAACCTTTAGTCAGATCTGAGCCTACCAGAAAAATGACTATGAAATTAAAACCTATGATATATACCTCAAGGAGAGATACAGAAATAGTGATACAGCAAGTCTCACTAAATACTTGCTAACATAAACTATCCTTTTCTTTTCTTCTTATTCCTCCATTTCCAAAAGATAGGTGAGGATCTAGATTAATCACTTCTAAGAGCAGCTGCATAAAAACATCTTTTTCTATGCAAGGGAGGTGAGCATAGGAAAGAACCTTGAATGTGAAAGCTATCAAAAGTAGGCACATAAACAGAGTGGGATGATTCCCTAAACTTTCAGTTTTCCTCTCAATTTCCTAGAATATCAATCAATGACAGAATTGTTAAGACTGGTGTTGTGTTCAACTGTCATCTTCACCTTGTAGATGGAAATCTAGAGCCAAAAAATCTATTGTTATTTGTGAATAATTAAAGAAAGTTGGAAAGAGTTTTGAAAGACAAGAATCAAAATTTCAAATAGCTAAACTGTATTTCATTTGACAGAGAAACCATCTATGGGAGGATGTGGTATTTCACGTCAGACTTTTCCAGGGGCGACACTGCATACACCAAGCTAGCTCTGGATCGGCACACTGACACTACCTATTTTCAAGAGCCCTGTGGGTAGGTGGATTAGAATTTTCTAGAGTGAGGCCTTTACATGTGATGGTCTTGAATAGTTTCTTAATCATTTTCTATTCTATTTGAACCAAGATCATATCTGCTGATGATAATTTGTATGACTATTTCTTTCTCTTCTCCTAGAAACATGCTCATTTTGAAATACCCTAGCTCAGTCTTCTTTAGACTTATAGGAACAAAACTTTTTGAAATGATTTAAAATTTACCTTAGTACATAAATAGATCTTAATCTTGTTTAATGTACATTTTTTCTCAAAGTAATTACAAATAACTTACAAAAAAGTATTGGCTAACCATTAGTTTTGGAATTTGTACAGTTTTCGTATATTTAGTTGTTATATTACAAAGAGGTCAATCTTCCAGACACAGCTGCTTTGGGTATGGTATTAAGAGGAATTTCAATCCAATTTACAAGTAGTTGGAGAGGAGGAATGAAGAAAAATAACATTCTTCATATGGAATCAGAAGTTATTGAGCCAAAGATGATATATACCATACTTTTTCCCAGCTTCATTGAGATATAATTGACATATAACATTGTGTGAATTTAAGGTATACAATGTGTTGATTTGATACGGTTATGTATTGCAATTTGATAGCCACCATAGCTAACAGAGTAGATCTTAAATGTTCTTAGCACAAAAAAGAAATGGCAATTATGTGACATGATGGATAGTTAACTTTCCTGCCATTTGCCACTTATTAGAGGTGCCTCTGAAGTTATGTTGTTGTTATTGATCTTGCTTCTGCATATAGTTAATGAGTCTGAGGGACAAAGATATTAGTAAAGTGAGTGTATGTATGGATTCATAAAGACAATATGAGAGAATGATAATATGCAATTGATTGTGGTTATATTGATTTCCTTTAAGCATTTGGAATTTAAGAATGTTTGGTTCAGGGGAAGAAGAATAAAACAGATTTTAGAGATCCTGCTCAATGTTATTGATATATGAAGAGGCCAACAGCCCTGCATCCTCGTTCTAGGGCATGCAGAAGGAAGAAAGAAGAAATGGGATGAGAAGTAGCTGGACAGGGATTGAGGTTAAAAACTATTAACAAGCTCTTCTCTCTGTGACTGCTAGCAGAGATAAGCAGTTGTCTGTGCCTTTAACTTAACCCTTTTTAATCAATGGCAATGACCAAGTACTTTAGTAGTATAGTCAGAGTAGTTAAGAGTTCAGGCTATAGCATCAACCAGACCTGGATTTGCATCCCAGCTGGAACATTTATTAGCTTTGTGATCTTGAAGAGGTAACTTAACCTCTCTGTGTCTCAGTTTCTTCATCTGTAAAATGGGACTAGTAATAAAGTCTCTTCATTAGTATTGCTGAGGGATTAAATTACATGATGTATTTAAAGTACTTGGCATACTGCCTGACATAGTAAGTGTTTAATAAATACTAGCTGTTGTTATCATTTTAGCCATTATCATCATCATCATAATCATTGTTATATGCCTTGTCCTTTCTAAAGTACCTTCGCTCTGGATCTCATCCTTTTCAGTCCCCTTGGGGATCTTTCTCTCTTATATTTTCAGCCTTTCCATACCTATTGACTCCTTCCTATCAGCTTCTCATATCTTAAATCTCTACTTTTATACACTTCCTTGGACTCTATCTCCCTCTAGTTACAGACTCGCCTTGCTCTTCCCCTTCACAGCTAAACTTTATTAATAAAGTTATCTATATTCAGTATCTTTTCATTCTCACTTCCCATTCACTCCTCAAACCCATAGTCAGCTAGTTTATCCAACCCCCTCCCAATTAAAATTAGTCTCTCCAGGGGCCAGCCCCATGGCAGTAGTGGTTAAGTTCAGCATGCTCTGCTTCAGTGGCCTGGGTGCATGGGTCTGGTTCCCATGTGCGGACCTACACCACTCGTGAGCAGCCATGCTGTGACAGTGGCCCACATACAAAATAGAGGAAGATGGGCACAGATGTTAGCTTAGGGTGAATCTTCCTCAAGCAAAAAGAGGAAGATTGGCAACAGATGTTAGCTTGGGGCAAATCCTCCTCAGCGAAAAAGAAAAAGAAATTACTTTCTTCAAAGTCACCAGCAAATAACTTATTTACCATACCCAACATGTACCTTTCAGTGTTCATCTTATTTGACCCCTGGGGCATGCCATTAACCACTACCTCTTCTTAAATATCTCTTCTTTTCTAGTTTTCCTCCTATATCTCTGACCATTTTTCCTCAGCCTCCTGTGCTGGGTTATTTTCCTCTGTCCACGTACTAAATATTGTTCTTCCTGAAGGTTTTTTCCTTGTCCCTCTTTTTTTACTTGAAATGATCTTTCCAAATGACTTCTTCCCTGCTGTTGGGTTCAGCTATCATCTACAGACAACTACAAAATCTACTTGTCTTCTGAGTTAAACATCTTTGACTGGTTCCTAGATAATCCTGACCTAGAAGTTTCACAGAAAGCTCAACATGGCCAGAACTGACCTTTCTCATTTTAATTGTATTTATATTAGGTTCTCCTTGATTTTATTCCTTCCATCTTTGTTTATTACTTATTTTACTTTTTTGTTTGCTTTTCCTTATTTTTGCATTTTTTCTAAATTACTATTAATTTTATTTTCACCTTGTTAATCTGAAAATTCTACTTTAGTTTTCCAGTTCATTAATAGTCACCTTTCCTTTCCCTGTTAACATTTTCAGCCACATATGACTCAACTATTTCAACATGTTCCTAAAATGAATTTCTTCCTAAACTCTCTGCACCTTCTCATTATCATCCAATTACACATCTGCCTGGAATGCTCTCTCCTCACCTCAATCTCATCCATCTCTAAGACATTTCTTTAAACAACACCCCATTAGAATAACTTCCTTTCTTTATGGCCCCACTATATCTTCTGTCCAACTCTATTATAGTGCCTATCATATTTCATTGGTACTTATTTACTTCATCTCTTCTTACTAGACTATGGACTTCTTTAAAACAGAGACTGTATCATACTCATGCCTGCTGTATTCCCAGAGTCTGGCAGATATAGGCTTTAATATGTATTGAATATGTTTAGAAGAAACCTATAGTGTCATTAATATTTCAAAGCACAAAAAAAGTACAGCTGGCTGTGGGGGTAAAACAATTAGGAAATGAGATTTATTTCTTCATGAAAAGAAAATGACACAAGTAGATTCAGTAATCATTTCATATATAATTTTCTAAAATTTTGATATGTTCTCTTTTCTCCACTGAACAGAAGAATTTAATTTTTTCCCTCTTTAGCATTCAAGTGTTTCACTGTCTTAAGCATGAAGGAACAGGTGGCAGGACACTGCTAGTAGATGGATTCTATGCAGCAGAACAGGTACTTCAAAAGGCGCCTGAGGAATTTGACCTCCTCAGCAAAGTGCCATTGAAGCATGAATATATTGAAAATGTTGGAGAATGTCACAACCACATGATTGGGGTTGGGCCAGTCTTAAATATCTACCCCTGGAATAAAGAGCTCTATTTGATCAGGTGAGTACCAAAGAACTATCCCCCAATGTGATGCATTTACTAAATATTAGCCTTCTAACCCTAAGGTCCTTATATCTGCCACATTTTAATCTTCCTATTCTATAACTTTTTGTTAGTACAATTTCTATTCTTATTATAATTCCAATGGAATAATAAATAGGCCAACAGGCAAGGAATACTAGATTTTTTAGGGGCAGATGTTTGAGATAGTATTTAAAAATGAAAACACTATTAAAATCAAACACAGTTATTAAATTGTGCTCAGTGACTTAACAGCTAGGGTACCCAAAGGCATGATGACCACAACATTTGTCTGTAGCCCAGATTTATGGAAATCTCCTGACTTGTATATCCAATAATCTGCTAGATATCTCCACTTAGATATCTTGTAGGATCATAAAGCACATCATATTCAAAACTGAAATCATCATCTCTACTCATTTCAAGCCTACTCTTCCCACAACCAGTTGTTGTGAAGATAAAAAATAAATTCTTGCCATTGCCTTTATCCTTGGATTGTAGGGACTATGTAAATAGTAATTCACTTCCCTTGGATAAGCTTCTCTGGAAAACTCTCCCTCAGTCATCTCTTGTATCCCCATTGCCTAGAACAATGAGTTGGTGCTCAATAATTTTTCCAGAATTTTATTATGAACATTTTTAAACATACAAAAAAGTTGGAAGCATTTACAGGGAAACCTCATAGACCTACTATTAAGATATTACTATACCTATCAATCCATCTATCCCTCTGTCAATTAACCTTATTTTTGATACATTTCAAACTACATTACAGATATGAGTATATGTCCCCCTAAAATACTTCAACATTTATATCCTTAAGTAGAGTTCAATATTTGTTTACAGATTTTTTTATTTTGAGATAAAGTTTACATAAAGTGATGTTAAAAAATATTAAATATACACTTGCTAAGTTTTGACAAATGCATACACGTATGTGTATATATATATATAATATATACTATTACCATCACTACAGAAAGTCACCTTCCCAGTCCACCTTCCTGCACACATACCCCAGAGGAAACCACTGTTTTGATTTTTTTACTACCATAGATTAGTTTTGCTACCATAGATTAGTTCTAGAAATTCATCCCATAAAATAAACCCATTCTTTTGTGCATAAACACCTGGGCTGTTTCCAGTTTGGGGTTATTATGAATAAAGCTGCCATGAATGTTTATGTAAAAGTATTTTTGGGGAACCAGCCCCATGGCATAGTGGTTAAAGTTCTATGCACTCAACTTTAGCGGCCCACAATCACGGGTTTGGATCCCAGGTGTGGACCTACTCCACTCATCAGCCATGCTGTGACAGCATCCAACATACAAAGTAGAGGAAGATTGGCACAGATATTAGCTCAGCAACAATCTTCCTCAAGCAAAAAAAATAGGAAGATTAGCAATGGATATTAGCGCAGGGAGGATCTTCCTCACCAACAAAAAAAGTGTATTTTTGTAGATATGATATGTTTTCATTTCACTCAGGTAAATCCCTAAGAGTGGAATTTCTGAGTCGTAGAGTAGGTGAGTGTTTAGTTTCATAAGCAACTGCCAGAACATTTACTAAAGTAGTTGTTCCATTTTATACTATCATCAACAATGTATGAGAGTTGTCAGGCTTATTAATTTCAGCTATTGTGATGGATATCTCCCTGGGGTTTTAATTTGCAAATTTTTGTGACTGATGGTGTTGAGCATCTTTCCATGTGTTTATTGGCTGTTCATATATCTTATTTGTGAAGTATTTGGTTAAATCTTTGGTCCATTTTCTCATTAGGTTGTATTTTCATTGTTGAGTTGTAGGAGTTCTTTTATATACCCTGGTCACCAGTTCTTACCTGAATCATGTTTTAGGAATATTATCTTCTAGTCTGTGGCTTACCTATTTATTTTTTTAAGTGTCTTTTGATGAGCAGAAAATTTTAATTTTAATAAAATGTAATTTATCAGTTTTTTCTGTAATGGTTGTCGTGTCTGTGACATGTATAAGAAATCTTTACCCCCATGACATGATGATATTCTCCTATGTTTTCTAAAGGTGTGTTGTGGTTTTATCTTTTTCGTTTAAGTCTGTGATCTATCTCAAATTAATTTTTTCTATGTTTTTAGGTAAGGGAAGAAGTGCATATTTTTTACGTATGGATATCTAGGTGTTATAGCAGCATTTGTTGAAAAGATCTTCCTTTCCCCCATTGGATTGCTTTTGCAACTCTGTCAAAAATAAAATGACCATATAAATGTGGGTTTGTTTCTGGGCTATTTGGTTCCATTATCTATCTTTGAATCCTTATGATAGTTCCACATTGTCTTGTCTACTGCAGGTTTACAGTAATTCTTGAAATCAGGTAATACGTTTGTCAACTTTGTTATTTTTCAAGATTATTTAGGATATTCTAGATCCGAGGTCTACAAACTTTTCTATAAAGGGCCAGATAGTAAATAGTTTAGGCTTTGTGGGTCATATGGTCGCTATTGCAACTACTCAATACCGTAGAAACAAAACAGCAGCCATAGACAATATGTAAGTGAATGGATGTGGCTGTGTTCTAATAAAACACTTAGGGAAACAGGCAGTGGGCTGGATTTGGCCCACAAACCATAGTTTGCCAACCCCTGTTCTAGAGTCTTCATATTTCCATATATATTTTAAAATCAGCTTGTCAATTTTTTTTCTTTCTTTCTTTCCTTTTTTTGGTGAGAAAGATTGGCCCTGAGCTAGCATCTGTTGCCAATCTTCCTCTTTTTGCTTGAGGAAGGTTGTCCCTAAGCTAACGTCTGTGCCAGTCTTCCTCTATTTTGTATGTGGGATGCCTGCCACAGCATGGCTTGATGAGCAGTGTGCAGGTCTGCACCTGGGATCTGAACCCATGAACCCTGGGCCACTGAAGCAGAGTGTGCAAACTCAACTACTACACCACCGGGCCAGCCCAATCAGCTTGTCAATTTTTAGGAAAAAGCCTGTTAGGATTATCATTGGGATTGCTTTGAATCTATGGATCATTTTGGTGAGAACTGAGTCTTCTAATCCATGAACTTGAACTCTTTATTTATTTAGTCGTCTTTAATTTCTCTCAGCAATGTTTTGTAGTATTTAAGATACAGATCTTATGTATCTTTTGTTAATTTTATTCCTAAGTATATATGTTTTGATGGTATTGTAAAATAAAATTTTAATAGTATTTTCCAATTGTTTGCTGCCATTATGTAAAAACAATTGATTTCTTTTTAAATTAGCATTTTATTCTATAGCCTTCCTAAAGTCATTCATTATTCTAAAAAGTTTCTGTTTTTTAGGTTTCTTAGGATTTTCTGTATGGACAATAATGTTGTAGGGACAGTTTTATTTCTTTCTTTCTAATCTATATATAGCTTATGTATTTGTTTGCTTTTTTTTTTTGCCTTATTGCACTGGCTACCACCTCCAGTAGTATATTAAATAAGAGTGGTGAGGGTAGACATCCTTAGAATGAAAGTGTTCAGTATATGATGTTAGCTGTAAGGGGTTTAATGATGGCTTTTATCAGTTTGAGGAATTTCCCTCCCAAGTTTACTGAGAGTTTTTTTTAATCATGAATGAGTATTGAATTTTGATAAATGCTGTATCTTCATTTATCAATTGAAATAATCATATCATTTTTCTCCTTTATTCTATTAATATGGTAAGTTACATAGGTTTATTTTCAAATGTTAAACCAACCTGGCACTCCTAGGATAAACTTTACTTGGTCATGATTTATTACTATACATACACACACATATACATATGTGTGTGCATGTGTATGTTAATAGTGTGGTTCCAATCAAGAGATAGATACCACACAGTAGGTTAACAGGGAAAATTCAATATAAAGAATCATGAACTATGATAAAAGAGTAAGTATAAGACATAAAGAAATTCAGTATAGTACCCTAGGGCTGAGGCAGAGTATCCAAGGAAGAATAAACCTAGAAGAGGTTCAGACCTCAAAGAAAGAGTGTTCAGCCACCTGATATAAGAGAAGTTTGCTGGTTAGGCCAGGCAGGAGCTGGTCTAGAGTTGCTGAGCAAACAATAGGCCACCCTCCCAGAGTGCAGGCAGGGGAGCAGGCAAGCAGCAACTGGTGGTGTGAGTGTGCAAAGGGAGTTTGGGTGCCAGTGAAACCAGGAGGACTTAAGAACAAATAGATTGCATGAGTTAGGAGTGAGGAATGGGAGCTTGCAGAATGACTGTTCAGTGTGTGACCCCGCAGAACATAGGAGACTATGCTTGTCATGTAGGGGCTTGCCCAGGGAGTCTAGACAGGCAGCTGCATGTAGGCCATGCGGGGGCTCTGGTTTACCATGTCGAGAGGGTTGTGGGAAGGTTATCGATCACCAGGCTGAGGCTGCAAGGTTGCATAGGGACCAAGTCCTGGGCTCAGAGGACTGGAACTACCTGATGTCCTCACACCTACACAGAGGAGGGCCCCGGCCAGGGCCAGAAATAGCAAAAGAACCTCCTTCTCTTGTAGTGTCCCTCCAGCACCCTCTACTGAGAAAGTTTAATATTGTGCTTGCTATAAAGGAGGAATGCTTAAAAGAATTATTATATGAAGAACATATATGTAAGGATGTGTTCAGAACTGAGAAACAATAAATTGGTAACTGACACATAGGCATAGCTGGTTTCAGCTTAGTAATATCATGTTGAGAAATTTTGCATCTAGGTTCAAAGGTGATATAGGTCTGCAATTTTCTTTTTTTGTAATGAGTTTGTCACATTTTGGTATTATACTGACTTTGTAAAACTCTAGTTTACCAAAGAGTTTGTGTAATATTAGTGCTATTTCCACTCTAAAGGTTGCTAGAATTTACCAGGGAAACTGTCTGGGAATGGAGTTTATTTTATGGGAAGGTTTTGGATATTAAATTCAATTTTTTCTATAGATACAGAGCTAGTAAGATTTTCTGTTTCCTCTTTAATGGTTCTTTCAAGAAATCTGTACATTTTATCTAAGT